GAACAGTCGTAACAGGGAGATTCCCCAACCCTCCCATTCCGGGTTGGTCAGGGCATCGGTTATCTCCTGCCGTAAAACTGCATGAGCAATGGATCCCACTTGCTTTTGAAGGCGGTTCCAGAAACGGAGGATCTGCTTCACCATGTAATATTGTAAGGGGAGTTCAGCCAGCTCCGCATACAACAGCCTGTGGGATGGCCGTGCCGTCCCCACTACCTGCCTCATGAATAAAATCTGCAGCTGGACTGCACTATCCTTCAAACAGGCTTCGAACATGCCCTCCGCAAGGTTGAAGTTGTGCATGCGCATGCGCATACAGGCTCAGGAACAGTGGTGACGGCACTAAAAAGCGTTTGATGAGCGGCTGGGACCATGCGCGTCTGATTGTCTTGCCAGAGGACTACCCATTGGATGGAAAAGAACCGGGAGTACAGTTGGCGAAGTTTAAGTATAAGCACTGGCACCATGGCCCCAGGGAGCAGTGGATTTGCCGCTGTTGTGGTGCCGATAGCCAAGTCGAGGATGAAAAACACGTGTTATTGGAATGCTCAGCTCATAGTAATAATCGTGCGGAAGATGGATTGTACTTGGACGGTGCCGGTCGAGGGAAAGCCAAAAATAGCTGTAACCGGCAGCTGTCCAGATGAAATATACGGAAAACCACCGCGATCCGCATAACAGCGGCGGTTGCAAGCGGTGCCTGAAGAAGCCCGCGAATCCCTGCGGATCAGAAGACCCTCGTGGAAGCATGGCGTAGGAAATATAAGCTTGGCGAGCAACAAATGTTAGTTCGCGCATACTCGTATTAAAGGGTCTGAATGTTGCTTCCTGTCAGGATACATTCCGCCAGCAGTCAGGCCGTCCGTTGCATGTGTCCTGCCGAGACCGGCGCTTTGGACCGTCAGCAGCTTTTCCAAAGCGGAGAGAAAGATGGGATTTAATAGTATTGGGATGTTGCGACCTGTGCCTACCGACAGGGACGAGAACCGAATCGTCACGATGACACCCAAACTGTGCTCACAAAATCAATTAAGCGTGCTGAGCACATAAAATGATTAAACACTACCAATCAATAAAATCAAACCGACAAATGGGCTCACACCGGAAGGACATGTTGACATCTAGATAAAGTATACTGGTGTAGAACAGAGTGAATGACAGCTCATGCAACTATAATGATTACTAAGATGAAAGCTGATGACATGTAAGGCTCGCGATCAGACGGTTGAATTTGGCAGCTTCAGCACGAGCAGACGCGTCGTGGCGCCCACGGATAAAGGCGTAGGAAATATAATATATGATATGTATAGTTAGCTAGGTATACATCACTTTCCATTAGCGTTTGAGGTCGTATATTTCTTACACCCCTTTAGGATGCAACCCGTTCGAATTAGTTATATCTTAGTCAGCCACATGAAGTCGCGTCAGGGAACCAAATTGTCAGAGGTCCTGTCACCACATCAATTATTTTAAAATATAATGATAATGAAGATCAGCATTATTTTCATCCATACTTTCATCGTTGCATCGCGATTCACCACAAACAGCACTCTCGTTGCGCTTGCAGCTTTGGGCAATGCACTTTGAGAGACATAAGTTTAACTAGTATCAGCTAATATCCTAAATAATTCTTTGTGGGGCACATTCGCCGACGATGCCATCCTACCGTCAA